TTGTTGTCGACTGAAAGTTGAGATTTTCTATTCAATAGTCTATATAACTGTTCGTATGGTCTGTTAAGTTGTTGTCTTTTAAGTCTGGTACGTGGGTTCCACGTTAATCTTTTATCTACAATAAAGCCAAGATACCGGACTGTGTCGGACAGAGGAAGTATGGAGTTGAAGTAGACTGGTGGACAGGAATCGTGTCGAAGAGTAAAAGTGATATGTTTGGATTTGGATTCATTTACTTGGATTCGCCACTTATTACACCAGTGTTCAATAAGAGAGAGGTGACTTTGTAGGTAATTACTTAAATTAAATTTTGGTTTATTATTTTCAATAATCAACCATTGTTATCGACCAAAAAATTCAAAAACTTAACCCCTTCTCCAAATTTGAGGTTTCACGTTTCAGGATGCGTAAAATTCGAAAAACGAATAAAAATTTTTTTGCCGTCCGCGTATTTTCTCCGAAACTACTGGACCTATTTTTTTCAAATTTGGATTTAAAATCAGCGGTCACGCTAGGATGATCCTCTTTCATCGACATTACTCTCCGCCTTTAACTTTCAAAATGGTGGCCGAAAAACCTGCGTTGCTATAGACTGTAGCTCCTAAACGAATGTACAGATTTCAATGAAACTTCGCTAAAATCATTTTCTCGACGCCCTATAAATTTATTTATATAACATACTTCAACGAAAAGAAGCTGGAAAAAAAAGTTACGAGGGATGGTAAAATTAAATTCCGAATAACTCGAAAAGTTTTTATTTATTTTTTGTATATGGTTGTAGTTTTTTAAAAGTTTACGAAATTTCCTAAAAAACAAAAATAATATCGTTAAAATCGGACAATTAGGAGCAAAGATATGGTCTCCGGTTTTTTAAAATATATTCTACACCAATTGTTATATCCTTGGTTTGATTTTTAAATTTTGAATGTGTTACTGAACTAATGCTATTTTTTTTTTTTTTTTTTAGCATATTACTTATGATTAAAGGAAACAGTTTAGTCCAATAATTGGAATCACCTTTTGTTTTTTTTCTTTGTAACCCGGAAGGTAATGTTACTTTAAATGTATAATTGTTTGGAGATAATAAACCATTGTGAAATAATTTGCAGCGTTTTTTTTTTGTTGTCGCTTCACAAAAAATATGACTCACTTAATAATCACAAAACTTAGATTTCCTAATTTTTTACGGAAAATTGGCCCATTGTTTATACGAACTTATTTGTTGCACTTGAGGTCTGCAATCACTCCTATAAAAATTTCCCTCTTCTTACGGAATACCCTGTGTTATATATATATATATATATATATATATATATATATATATATACATATATATATATATATATATATATATATATATAAGTAAAGTAAAGATCATAGGATCTTTACGGCTGGTCCCCGCGGAAAGTTAGACCACTACCCTCTTAATTGGGGAGGCCTACAGGTGTAATACTTGTAAAAACAGGCTATACAACAATATATATATATATATATATATATATATATATATATATATATATATATATATATATATACAAGTTATTGAAGGAATTTTCTCAATGAAATTCCCGTTTGATTGATATATCATTCATCAATTTCATTCATCTATCCCTCCTGAGAGTTGGAAAATGCATCTGCGCTACCATAATATATATAGTGCAGATAAAAAAGCAGATTTGAATAAAAATCAAAGATTAATTTAAATCCTTTGTTATTTGAAGCCTAACTAACATCAACTCAATATGAGATTTAATTTGCATATAAATTGTTAATACCCCCCCACTTTAAATAAACTCGCTTCTTTGTGCAGTAGCTCAGACACGATATATGTTTGTGTCGGCCCTTGTACCCAGGGCAAATAGTTTATTTTATTCAGCCCAGCCATCCTCTACACCCAACATTCGCCATCCCAGTTATTTGTTTTCCGTTCAAACAATTCACCGGTCTAAAATATTATTCTGATAGAAAAGTAAACAGAAAAAAGGAGTTTCATAAAGCTTATTCATGCGAAAAAAAGTCATTTGAATAAATGTAAAATACCACTAACAAAATATTATTTACAAAGCTGTGTAAAGATTGTAAATCCTTTATACTAATCAAGGAAAGAGAGAAAAATCTGAACTATTTGCTGACCATCTTTCATCTGTATTTACACCATTTACTGACTATACAAACGCAGAAAATTACACTTTAGTACTAAATACCCTAGATATAAGTTATACAACAAATCACAAACAATTACCGAAACGAAATACCAAAGTTTTGACTTAATAACTAACGAGACGCTTCAGCAAATGTTTAAGAATACACTAGTGTTCGTTACAATAATATACAACTGTATCCTAAGGACAACTAAATTCCAACTGGAATGAGAACATTCAAATATTAAAATTATATAGAAAAGTGGCAAAGGAAATTTCAATCCTTTATTTTACCGACCTATCTGGCATCCTCGGTGCCGGCCTTAGAGGGAGGTAAAGGGGGCAATTGCCCAGGTGTGCCGATCATCACACTACTTTCACTTACCACCCTCTTTTTAGCAGGAAAAAGTATTTTCAGACAAAGGGTAAGTGAAAGTAAAAAATTATAGGCGCTATATTTATTTATATTTCATTGTGGGTATTTTTATTTGTGTATTACCCTTATATATGCAAATTTTAATATTTATATCACTTTAATCTATTCAATTAAATATTAAATAATACCAGCAATAACATTTATGAAAACCACATATTTATATTTATATAATTTTATCGGAGTCCGTACTATATTAAGCTCATGTTACATATGGAAGCGTGTTCTAATCTTTCGGGTGCGTTCGTATTCCTTTGGTACCTCAATTACAACTATTCTCCGTTCCGATCTCTTATTTCTTCTTTAGTTAATAATTAAGTTCTTTTATATTTTATAGTCAACTATCTTTTATATTAGAGATTAATTTAAAATGGACGATTTTTTCAAATAAAAAAAAATAAAGGTACTTTAGGGAAAGCTGATTGCAATACTTTCCTTTACTGTGTATTTCATATATAGGGAAATGAATGTAAACAAAATGTACAAACCCTTGAAGGAAGTTAGTCGACTGCTCTACATATCATGGCTGATAAATATTCAGGACGCAGTCTTTTTAAATTTTTTATTTATGCCAACGTTTCAACCTAAACATGTGGATCATCTTCAGGGCATGGTTTGAACACTGAGGGTGTTCAAGTACTCGAACAGTAACTGAGTACTTGAACACCCTCTGTGTTCAAACCACGCCCTGAAGATGACCCACCTGTTTAGGTTGAAACGTTGGCATAAATAAAAAATTTAAAAAGATTGCGTCCTGAATATTTATCACCTGAATATTTATCTGATATGTACAAACCGTATTAAAACATTTGGTTTTAGCCTATTGATAAAGCTATAAACTGTATTATAGAAATATTGAGTAAAATAAAATTTCGAATATTAATTAATATAAAACAGCTTGAGTAATAAATTTAATTTTTTTAGGGGGAGGAGATGACCTCGTTTCCCTGGTACTCAAAATGTCTATGGCCTGCAATGAGTCTCCTTCCAATATGTTCCAAGGTTTTCGAAACATAAATATACAAATGATTGGTTTACATAGTAACGGACCAAAATATAATTTCTGACCATTAATTAGGTTTTCCTACATTCCATTCGAAAACACGCCAATCACAAAGTTACATTTTTGATCATTTTTATCATAACATAAATCATTTTTGATGCACTAGATAAAGCAAAACAGTACGCGACCGGCATATTTCTGGATGTTGCCTAGGCATTTGATGTCTGGCACCATGGACTCCTCTTTAAACTCAAAACTGGTGTGGATGAAGAAAGAAAAATCCGAGAGGTTATTGTTGTCATAATGTTTTCCTCACCCTCTTATTCTTGAACGAACGGGCTAGCACTTTTGCCTGTGGACCAGTTATAGTCCTGATACTAGAGGATTTAACTCTGGCATTTATTTCTCGCCATCTCCCCTGGCTCGGAACGACCTCGTACAGCCGAATGGGCGATGTAGCAGAGCAAATAAAAGAAGAAAACAAAGAAAATTTTTAAGAGGTAGAGCAATAAAATTTCTTGGAAGGGAAGTAGTGTGATCGACCATAAAGAAGATGGGTATCCCTGCCACTGTAATAATAATGATAATAATAATAAAAGGCTTTGCGAAACCGAAAACTCGATGCTGACATCACAAATCGCTGTTTGCATACTTGCATCCACTGACTGTAGACCAAAACCGACCCCGCCATATCAACCTTAACGAAATCTTCCCATCTTCACTTCGTTCTACTTCTTGCACGTTTACTGACAGTACTGAAAAATCACATATTAACTTTTTAGTAAATCATCCGTTAACAAAACGTGGAATTAAATAAACAAAAAGTATGCAACGATTCGTGATGTCGACCTTGAACTTTCGCTAAGAATTATAACTATTATATAGAAAAGCAAAGCACCAAATGTGAGGTATCCCTAAGAGGAGCAAATTGACACAGCAAATATTAACCTTTTAGAAATTCTTTCATTACTAAACCAAAAAATTTCATACAACCATGCTCATCAGGAGGCGACTAAAAAGGAGCTGGATGAGAGACCTCCTTTCCTGATTTTAGGATGTTAACAGACCAGGGAAGAGGTGCTGCTGGGTTCCATTCTTCTTCATGCCTATAATGCCATTTTCTACCTAACAACAAATCTGCTAATTGTCACTACCATGACAGGTGCTGATGAAGAATTGAAGACAAAGAAACTGTTGACAAAAAAAGTTGTCGTAGACGTTTAGATACCTAAACTTGTTGACGTGTTCAAACAAATTTCCTTCTATATCGATGCAACTATAATTGTTGCCGTTTTCGCAGATGATCATATATTTTGTCTTATTTACCCCTACCATAATTATATTTATTTATACTTCTCATGATATTGATAGTATACATTGACACTTATTATATTTATTATGATATTGAATGATGGACTCCTACCAGTTCCTGCTCCAGATGCGGTGGAAGTGTTCATCCCGGACTGCTTCAGGATCTCGATGAGCTCGCAGCGGAAGGCCGATATGTCCTGCTTGATCTCGTTGACGTCGTCTTCGGTTACTCCCTCGTTCTCCGCCTTCCGCTGCTCCACGGTCACGTACCGCCGGACCAGGTTCCTCATAATGCTCTGCACAGTACAACGCTTTCTTACACACCTTACAATGGTAAAACTTCAAAGTGCGACATCGCAACTGCAAATCTGCATGCGTCTAAGAGCAGTCTTATTATGCATTTATATACAACTTATATATTTATATATATATTTTTATACGTATATACAAGAAAATTGGGAATAAATAGTGCAAAGTCTCACCCATAGTCTCACCGCGGGAGTGTGCTTAGTGTGTATGCTTATGTGAATGTAGGAAGAGATTATATTATGTGATTAAGTAGGCCAATATAATACAATATCTACCATGCGATTTATTCACAATATTTATATATTTACTGTTATCTATGTATATATAATTATATGTTCGGTTATATTACTCACTTGGTAACGGAAATCCCTCTCACTAGCCTGTTTGGCCTTCCGCTGAAACAAAGAGAAAAAGGGGAAGAGTGCGTTGAGGGATTGTGCGTGCGTGAAGGATCCCAGGGTCAGGATTTTGCGTGAAGTTGGATTCAGAGTGCGGGGAAAAAAGGAGGGATTGGGGGAGGGGCAGGCTTATTATTAGTTTAGAATACAAATAATAAATGCAATAATTATTTTTAAAAAATATATATATAATAAATATTATAAAGGAAGGAGATGGTCCGAGGTGGCGGTCATAAATAGGCTTAATATTGGTAAAAACTATTTTATTAAAAGGCAACGTTTCGACCCGACTTTACAGGTCTTCTTCAGGGCTAGAACGGACAAGATACAAAAAGATAGAGAATTGTGGAAGTTATATAATATTTTCCTTTTCTTTCAATCCCTCCTGTAGATCTGTAGAAGTATATTCACATTTGCATTTATTATATATTACATTACAACAATTGTTACCATCTATTTACTTCAGTTTAAGGTCTTGTTACTTAGCTTACTGTGTTTATATTTTAATGTACTTATTTTTTATAATTTTAATAACCGTATTCACATTGTTTGTAATTGTTTGTCTAAATATTATATAACTTCCACAATTCTATATATCTTTTTGTATCTTATCCGCTCTAGCCCTGAAGAAGACCTGAGAAATCTGGTCGAAACGTTGGCTTTTAATATAATAGTTTTGCCTCTATTTAGTCCATTTATGACCGCCACCCCGGACCATCTCCTTTAATAATGCAACGGTCAAATTCAGATTTTTAGTTCATCTCCTGTACTGTTTTACTCCTGTACTGAGTTAATTGACAGCAAATGTGATCGAACTTCTTTTGTATATTATCAATTAGTTAATTAATAGAGTGTATACAAAAATGACAATCAAATATTTGTTTTATTATACCATTGTTATCTACCGTCATTAGTTATCTGCTAGTTAAATGCTCGATCCCACGTTATCATTCTTTAGGATGACTGTCAAAAAATTCTTCCGCAAAACTATCAATTTTTTCCCTTAAAGAAAATGGGCCATGTATCTAAATAAGTAGTAATCCGATGGTGCGAGGTCTGGACTATATGGTGGATGAGGCAGGAGTCTCATATCAGAAGGGTTTTTCAATAAATTTTCACAAATTTCTAACCTCTTAAGCTGATTGCTGAGGAGTAAGTTCGTGAGGACCAGTCTACTGCTCTTTTTCACCTTCCCATGGAGAGTAGATGGCGACTAACAGAATCTTTCGACACAACACACTCCCTGGCAAGTTCGCGAGTACTCGTGGACGGATTTGACTCAACAGCTTCCTGCAGAACCTCATCAATATCCATTAATGGTCACGAGCCCTTCTTCCTTTCCAACGTCGTATCTCCACTGCTAAATTTTTCAAACCAACGCGTGTAGTGCGCTGGTCAAGGACACCTTCCCTTCATATTTAATAATTTCACGAGTTGCTTCAGCGGCTGTGAAATTTTTTTTCCAGTAATGTCTTAAAATTACGAGAATTTCGTTGGCCACTGTCATGTTTCTTCTTTGAAACAAATAACTAAACTGAGGTTTTTCTTTTTTTAAGAATGAGATTAAACAAGCTTAGAGAATGTTCTAAAGAGATTATTAAGTATTGTTAAGTATTAAATATTTACAGTAATTTGAAATCTTGGATTTGATAAAACGGTCATTTTTTTTATACACCCTATCATTCATGATAATTTCTGACAACGTATATTGCTCCACTAATAGATACTCAGGTTTTGGAGTCAATAGGCTTTTTTATTATTAATTTATCTATTTATTTATTTTAACATTTTAATCCATTTGCACCTGCACTGCAGCGCACTTAGCAAATTTGATGAATTAGGCATTGACTGCGAGTTTGCTTGATTAACATAATTTTGTTATTGTTGTTAGAGTAGATCCCTTGGCCATTTTCTTTTTAGTCTGCGACGATCAGGTAACAGGGAAGAAGAAAGACACAGAACGAGTGGCTTTGGATGATTGAGAGTAGAAGAATGAAATGAAGTGTATTTGTCGCGGATGTACGATTTTACTGTTGGGATGTTTAAGTCGTTGTGTAGAGTATTATTTGAAATTTACTAAGGAGCGTTGACAATTTTTCGTAGAATTTTTTACTGTGTCGTTTGCAATTTATTAATGTGTGTTTGTTTTGCCGAACCTAAGTTCTGCTCCGAATGTCCAAATTGGTCTCAGTATGGTGTTGTAGATCAGTCGCTTGTTTTGTAAGTAAAGTGAGGATCTGTAGTCCAGAAGATGCGAGAGTTAGTTATATCGGCTAGTTAGTTCTTGTCTCTTTAATTACTGAATTAACTGATTACTAATTACTGAATACTGATGTATGTTCCAGGTGAGTCTTTTGTCTAAGTAGAGTCCGCGGTACCGTACACAGTTTTTTGAAGGCACTGGGTAATTATCAATCGTTATGGGTGGACATGAGGCTTTCCAAAGAGAGAAAGTCACATGGGTGGATTTATTAATATTTATTTTAATTCTCCATTTCTCAAACCATTTTTGAAGATCATAGAGGTGCTTTTGAAGGGCAATGATGCGATTTTTTATTTAATTAAAAATAATATAAATTCTGCACAATTTTAAACTAAAACATGGCAAACTACAGATGAATTCATCAAAATTTCAAACATATCTTCTAAAGAAATGTAGCACGAAAACCTCCCAGAAACAAACTCTAAGCCATGCTTTATTTAAGAATTAACTGCTAATCGACTATTGTGGTATGATATCATTAGAAGTTCAGGCATCACTCTTGAATGTTTTAACTGGAAATTTACTCATATTTTCCCTAATTTTCTGTGAATAATGCTCATTATCTGTTAATGAGTTGAAAACTGTTCACGTCTACTAGTGTCTATTACTGGTCCATTTACCTTACAACATATAATAAATTTTACAGACAAATAAATAATAATATAAATAACTAAATAAATATCTTTATTCTTTTTTCTAAATGAATCATGATTGATGATTGATCGATTGACATTGGTTTCCCTAATGCGCCCTGCTCGTCGTGAAGATTACCTTAATGGTGCGCATGTGCTCCTTCTTGGCGGCCCTGCTCTGGCCACATAACCGCCGATGGAGCCACATGAGGAAGTACCAGACGCTCTTCGGCGAAGGGAGGACGTTGAAAGGCGGGGGCACAGTACCGCCTTCCTCGAAGTAGCTGATCCACAGCCGGCTCCTAGCGAACTTCCACTCCACGTCCGCGCGTTCCTGGGAGCAAAAAAGAAATTTTGGATAAAGAAAAGATAAAAATAAGGAAAACATAGGGAGTTTTTTTCTGTTCTTAATAAGGGAATAAATTAAATTAAATAAAAAGGGATGATGTACAAAACTATAGTTTTTTTTGTTTTTGTTTGGGCTAACTGCAAGTAAAAAATCAGGATAATATATTAATTAGTACATTTTAATTTAAAACATATTTATTGAAATTTACAACAGCATTTATTTTTATTCTATTTTTCATTAAATTTGTCACTGCGTTGTTACGCATCAAGCAAATGTGTTGGCGTTTATTTTATCTTCTTGTATTCTTTATACTTGCTTAACTTGTCAGCAGAAGATCTCCAGACCACTGCCTTTTTAGTCGTCGTTGAGGCTCAACAGGTAACAGGAAGGAAGATAGAGATAAAACGAGTGGATTTGGACAATTGAGAGTAGAACAATGAAATGTTATCTACTTTTTGTGTATGTAGGTTTTTACTTTTGGTATGTTCATGTCTGTGAGTATGCAGAGTTCTGAAATAAACCAACGAGCATTGACGATTTTACGATGTATTTTGGATTGTGTGGTTTGAATTTTTGTTTGTCTGTGTGTGTGTTTTGCGGAACCCCCAAGTTCTGCTCCATATGTCCAAATAGATCTTAGTATGGTGGTGTAGATTAGTAGTTTGTTTAGTAAGTTGAGAAGAGATCTGTAGTCCAAAAGATGTGACAGTTGTATGTATCGTCTGGTCAGTTCTTGTTTTTTTAATTTAGTGTGAATGTTCCAGGTGAGTTTTTTGTCCAAGTATAGTCCGAGATACTGTAGATGCGTCTTTGAGGAAACTGGCTTATTGTCTATTGTCACAGCAGGACACGAGATCTTCCTCAGAGAAAGGCTAACATAAGTTGACTTGCTGGGATTGATTTTAATTCTGCATTTGTGAAACCATTTTTCAAGGTCGTGTAGGTGATTTTGAAGAGCTTTTGAAACGATAGTGGAATTTTTGTGAGAAGAAAGAATTAAGCAAAGCTACAGAGAATGGTGCTAGGGAGCTCAGGGATATCAGTATTAAATGAAAAATACAACAAATAAATTTGAAATTAGTAACATGACGCGAACAACATGCAGAGAAACTTCCCATTGGTAGCACTATAGTGGTATATATTATAAAATTATGGTTATATATTAGACGGTCCCGAGGCCACCTTCTTTTCAGACGTCTCGAAGGGTTTTCAGGAATATAAGAGGAAGATTGGAAACAAGAGGGTTCGGAAGGTTCAGAAGTTTGTTATAGAAGGATAGGTATCTGGATTGAGCTCAATCGGAAACCTCATCCTCGGGTGACCTCTGAGTTGAAATCAAAATTTGAATAAAATCAGTCAACCAGTAGTTTCGGAGAAAATGAGCGGACGGCGGACGGACAGAAAGCAATTGTATTCGTTTTCCGAATTCTACTAATCCTGAAAAGTAAAACCTCAAATTTCGAGGAGGGAGGGGTTAAGTTTTTGAATTTTTCGTTCGATCACAATGGATCATTATTGAAAATAATAAAACAAAAATCGTTTTGAATTTAATACACAGATTTTAAATATTGTTTAGTTGCCCGTTTACATTACTTTACTTCGTCAAATAAATCGTACTCTATTGATATATCTGATCGGTTATCAGGAAAATTAGTTAAATTCAATTGTGTTATTTTCAATAATCATATTTTAAATTAAAAAAATGTTCAAAATCGATAGGAAAATCATGTAATTGGACACAAACGATATTTTATTTAAATAATTGGAGAAATTGTATAGATTTTCTTTACTCTACAACTTTTCCATTCCAAGGTGTGGACTTTCTTGACAATGCCTTTAATGTATTTTCATGTTAATTTTATTAATTAGGTTGGATTTGACAATGTTCATGTCAATAAAGCATTTAAATGTAACTATTACTTACCATATTTCCTAAGATCTAAAGATCAAGACCAAGATCAAGACTGAGTGCCCAAGACCAAGACTCTTCTTGATCTTGCATTTGAGCAACACTACTGTTCACACACACACTTTTTTGAACACATTTTAAAACATTTCCTCACTATATATTTCATACATAAGTAAGAGGAATTAATAATGTACTTCTTCTTAATTTGGATCTAGTCTGATATATTTTTTTCTTTTTATAATTTAGTCCGTTCTTTTTTTCGATACTTCCTCTACTGTTTGCAGGTAGCTATAATTTCAGTTGGCCCTTAACCCGGCAAAAACCTCGACAATCTACAGTTGTAATTGAGTACTCATATAATTGGTAGGGTTTTTTATCCAAGTAGAGGAACGCCAATATCCTTTCTTCTCGACCTAAAGAAATAAATCACTTCGGAACCAATCGGGACAAAAGCTCGCATCGACCTAGCAAAAGAACCCGAGGACATATTTTGTTCAATTAATAAATTCTTTCTTAAGTTGCCTCAACAACTTATCAAATCCAAAAAAGGCGATTTTTAAAATGATGTGTCCCAGACGTAAAGGACGCCATGTCCATTATTTTATAAAATAATTTAGTAACTAAGAATCAAATTTAAATAGTTCAAAGATATGGAAAATTGGTTCCATTGAACAAATACAAAAATGGATGAGGTGTTCTTTAACTCTCCGAGGTGCGGAATGAAAATACTTCTTTAGGCACGCAATGCACTTTTTGGTGGTGAGTGAATTACATTGCGCCGTCAGATTCTCGATGTGTAACGCTAGAGAAAGTTAGCTGGAGTCGACTAATTGAAGTATTTTTTCATGCGGATTAAAATATCTCAAACATTAAAAATCGGAACTTGTTAGCTAGGAAAATGTTTACAATTTCATATTCTTTGTAATGAGCTATTAATAAAAATTGTATCTTAATGCGACGCCGTGTTAGAGAGGAGAAAAAGGAAAAAAATTTTCAAAAACCAAATTATAACGAGTTTTATTGAAGATAGAGATTAAAATATCACAGAACTAAAAATCGAACCTGCATACTGTAAGCTAGGGAAATGTTTAACATTTCATCCTCTTTATAGTGAGCAATTATTAATAATTTATATTTCATATTATTAATCTCGCCTTGGTGATTATTTCATTTCTATTGTGTGGTCTAAAGCAGATATTTTAGTTTTTTTCAAGATGTGTTATTTTATTGAGTACTATAAAATTCTGTCACAATAAATAAATTAAAGATATGTATAAAAATGAACAAAATTAACGCACACGTTTATCACTACGGTTAAAATGATGTCAATGATATTTCTAAATTATTTGATCATGTACTTCTTATTAAGGAGTTATGAAATTAAAAATCCATTTATGTTCTTACATTCCACGGTACAGACCCTTTTTAATCAAATCATTAACATCCATCTTAAATTTCGTGAATGGCATGTTATCGTAACCTACAATTTTTTTTTATCTCAAAAATAGGGTGTTTACTCATTATATTAATTAATTGAATGAGGAACTAAATACTCATTAATACATATTTCCTATCCATTTGAATCGTAAGATAATTTCCGCGCGAAATCGAGAAATAAGTTGGCGTACAAAAATATTGGGCAATTTGGCTAGTATAACCTCGTTATTTTGTCACGTTCAGAGACGAACTCACGCCAAACTGTATGATATTTTTGTAGGCCGTCTTTTTTCTCGATTTCGTGATCCCATCATCTTACGATTCAAGTTAAAAACAGCTGGATGTTCATGAGATTTTATTAACTCATTTAATAGACAAAGTTTACCGATATACAGATTGGAAACTCCACATTTCTGAGAATTTTTGTAAAAAAAAAGTTGTTGTTAATAGCCACATCTTGTATTAAACAGAACTTAAATACTGTTGTCTATGTTAACTCAGGATTATTAAGTCCAGACCACTGTTGAAAGAAATTAAAAAAAATGTTAAGAAGTTCTGATAAAACAAAATGAAAGCGATAAATTGGTATAAAACTGGGTTTATATATTCATACATATTCAATAGAGAATATCTTCTCTTTTTAAGACTGTTGTTGAATACACAATGTATCATGTGAAAATTCGATTTTACGTTAAATAGCAACAATGTTCCTATATTTGGCAGAAAACTCTGTTGATTTACTAACTGTAGAGAGACACTAAAACCCTTAATAAAATCTGGTCGAGACATCGTAAAGGTGTGTGCGCCTGCTGTGGTTGTAAAAACCAACCGATGATTGGAGAAGGGGGGGGATAGGTGATAAAATGTACGACCTGTTCCGAGTTGATAAATTCTATAACCAAACATCTGGTGCGGTGCGCACAACACATACATTTCGTTTACCACTCTACTTAGACTAGATATGCATTTTCATATATAGGGAAGTAATAGTAAAATTTTGGTACTGTGGCTACTTAGTAGAAATAAGTATTTTCTGAGAATGAGAAAGAGAAAGTCAAAGTAAAAATTATAAACGCTATATTGATTTATGCTTCATTGTGGATATTTTTATTTATTTAAGTACTCTTATATATACAAATTTTAATATTTATTTCGCTGTAATCTATAAAATTAAATATTAAATAATACCAATGAAAACATTAATGAAAACCGCATATGTATGTGCACATAATATTGTCTGAGTTCGTATTGTATTAAGCTCATGTTACGTATGGAAGCCTATTCTAATCTTTGGGTAAGCTATCGTATCCCTTTGGTTCCTTCATTACAACTATTCTCAGCTACGATCTCTTATTTCTCCTTTCGTTAATTATCAAATTATTTCATACTTAACTATTTTTTTATTAGGGATCAATGTGAAATGGTTAATTGTTTCAAATAAAAAAAAAATAAAGTTACTTTAGAGGAAGCTAATATTGACAATTAGCAATTTAAGCCCAGCTGTAGAACATTTACACACAACCATTAATTGTTAAACTCTCTGGTGAGCATTATTCTAAAGGAGAAAGCAAATCTGCAGTAATTTATCAATTGTTTCCATTTATTATATCTATTACTTGATCCCGAGATAAATTTCTATATTTTAACCATTTAATTCTAGATTCAGGAGAGTATCGGACAAGCAGCCAGGAAGTGATAGAGATCTTCTGTTTCTTTTGTATTACACATGCTACAAATATTATTTGTTTGCTTGAAGTGTTTATAATTTAAGTTCAAAACATCAGCTCTAATTTTAATTACCCATCTGATCACCTTCAATGAGCTTTTGTCATCAATATAATTTACTGAAGTTAAATGAGAATAAAAAGTGAAAGTTTTAGAATTCTGAACTTTAATTACATATTGATTATATATGTCTTTCTGAATTTGAGTTCTTAGTAAATATGAATTAGCTCTCCATAGTTTAACATCATCACAGTTAGATCGATTTAAGTTAAAATTTAATCCATGCAGTTCTATCAGATTAAGTAAGTCTCTAAACCATGCGATTTCTTTTTTAATTATCTGTAGTGCTAATATTTTTGGATATATATGTGGTGGAAGATTCAAAATTTTTATAATGTAATCAAAATGGAGTTTAATTGTGAAGATAAATAACGGATCTATTTTAGTCTCAATGTGAATAAAATGTGTTGGAGTATACTTTGGTAATTTGAATAATTTTTTTAAGAAAGAATCTTCGCTAGGTATTCAGGGGTACACCCCCTATTATAATGGTTATATTATTTTCATGTATAATAGTTTATTAAGTTCAGGAAATTGGTTTTACTTACGGAAATGAGCTGATAGGAGTGATTCATCATGGCAATGAGAAGGTTGAGGAGAACCACGATGTTGATAACGGAGTAGGTTCCGAACATGAGCATACCCCAGAACCTGGTGAACGTCTTGATGCCCGCCAGTTCGAAGTTGTCCAGGTCTATCAGGCCGAAGACTGCCCAGAACAGTGTCTGCGAGGTCTCGAAAAGGCTGAAAAACAGTTTACTTTAAATATATCGGCACAATATTCTAAAACAATTCAATTAATTAAGTCGTTGTCCTATTAAATCGTAAAAGGGAATGAACGTTATGATGACCGAGAGTGTTAAGGCATAACTAAGCAGGCTGAACTCGGTTCGAATTCGGCCTGGGCGGGCTGAAATTTATTTCGTTGCGGACCCTCTGATATCACTAACTAGACATTTTCCACATTGAATTACTGCACACTGAACGTTTTTGAATGCAGAATCGAAAAGATTAAAAGTAAGAATTTAGGATCTTTGTGGATGGCTGAACATTAGTTTCACCTTACAAAAACAGTATTGTCTTTTTCCTTTTTGGCATTATGTGCCAAGTTATAGAAAAAAAAAACAATGTTTAAATATAACTAAGTAAATAGTTAATCCGTCTATTCTGTAGTAAAGACCATTTGTCAGACAACTTGCATTTTTACGTTCTTACGTTCAAGAGAAAATAGAAGAAAAGGTAAAATATGATCTAAGGAAATGTTGAATTATAAGTGTACAAACAAGGTTTGGACGTACTTGGCAAACCTCCTCCAAACGATACAAGCGTCTGGATCGTTGTTGTGACTTTTCTGGTCGAAAGTTGTCGTCGCGTTTGGGCATCTTTGCTTCTCCATGTCAGCGTAGTACCACAGTAATTGGTTCATACCTATCACATAAAAAGTATATATATATATTATAAGTAACTGTATATTGTATATTTTTCATTGTTCAAATATTACTATAAGTACGGTAATCACCCGTAGAATGTAAGAATGGAAATAAAATAAAATATTATAATAATAAACGGCTTAACGAACCCGAAGGTCCGATCACCAATGACTTTTTATACATCTCACTCCACCAATCGCCGACCAAACGAAGTCCCGCCATATCAGCCTAGACGCAATCTTCCCATCTTCGCTTTGGTCTACCTCTCGGACGTTTACAAGTCTGCCCACTGCATATCTTTTAGGAAACTTTCGTTACCAAGCCCAACAATTTTACACGCACATTTTATTCACCGCTATGTAATCTCATCGATTATATTGACGGATACAGTTCAAGCAATTCAGCGTTGTGTAACCGTTAAAATTCTCTTGTTAACTCATCTTTCTTCGGTTCAAATATTCTACGCAATACTTTATTTTCCAAAAGCTTAAGGCGTTGCTCATCACTTAATGTAAGCGGCCACGTTTCGCATCCATAACAAATAAATAATGATTTTGTGTATTCTCATTTTTAAGTTCGAGACAAGAGTCGCGAGCTATGTAGTTTTGTCACAGTAAAATAGTAAGCTTTTCCCGTCTTCAGCCTAACCTTAATTTTCTCTTTAACTTCGTTTTTTTCTACAAATTATAGTAGACCGCAGATTCCTAGACCGCTTTAGGTGTTGAAATAAATTTGATTATATATTGATATCACCGAAATTGTTGCCGTTCTTGCAGCTAATATTTTGTCTTATCCATGTTTATTTCGATCGCCAGTTCATTACCGGCTTTCATTAACGTTGTCGTATTTAGCTTTATATAGTTTCCGTGTCTTCGCTTAACAGGTCGAAATGATCCAAATCATCACGTCTCTAATGACACATATATTCGATATTTTTTAATATATCATTCGAAAAATATCTATATCTGACTTTTATAGTTTTTATACCCCCAAAAATGTGTCCTTGGGGTTATGAAACGTTTGGAAAATGTAATCCCCCTGCTCTGATAGAACACAAAATGTCTATTTCTTCTGTTCATTATTCTTACAATTAGTGTCTTGAGGTTTTATTTGTTATATAAATTAGGCCATTATTCATCAATATTTTATTTATTAGCTATTTTATTAAGACAACGTTTCGACCATCACTAGGGCCATTTTCAAGTCTTATTGAGGCCTCCATTAAATATCCATTAATAATGTCGTATTAATTTTTCAGACGAAAATTAAGTTGTCCTGATATTTAAGAGTTTTATCTAAGTCATTTCTGGAGGGACTGAAAGTCTTCTCTGAAGGTTTGTCCGTTTTCAAAACAGCCTATGATTCCGTGGAAAGAAACATATATAAAGAGATATATCTACTTGTAATTGGAAAATGGCCCTAGTGATGGTCGAAACATTGTTGTAATAAAATAGCTAATAAATAAAATGATGGTGTAGAATGGCCAAATTTATATAACAAATAAAATGTCTATTATTTCTATTAAAAATTTAACAAAAATATTTCACGTTAAAACTCTCAAGTATATTTGATTTTGAGATTAATACGAAAAGAAAATTTAAATTTCGGCTTTTTGGCGTATGACCAGATTATTATATCAATACATAAATATTATAATGTATATTGAATATTTATGGTTGACCGTTGCATTATAAAGGAAGGAGATGGTCTGGTGTGGCGGTCATAAATAGGCTAAGTAGTGGCAAAACTACTTTATTAAAAGCCAACGTTTTGACCCGACTTTACAGCTCTTCTTCAGGGCTAGAACAGACAAGATACAAAAATATAGAGAATTGTGGAAGTTGCATAATATTTAGAAAAAAAATTATAAACAATGTGAATAAGCTTATTAAAATTATAAACAGTAAGTACATTAAAATATGAACAGAGTAAGCTAAAAATACGAAAATGTTTAAATTACTCTGTTCAAATATTTATAATTTTAATAAGCTTATTCAGATTGTTTAAATATTATGTAACCTCCACAATTCTCTATATTTTTGTATCTTGTCCGTTCTAGCCCTGAAGAAGATCTGCAAAGTCGGGACGAAACGTTGGCTTTTAATAAAAATAGTTTTACCACTATTTAGCCTATTTATGACCGCCTCACCAGACCATCTCCTTCCATTATAATGTATAGTATTATTTATTAAAACATATATATTTATATTTACAAATATAATTATAATTATTGTCAAACTTACCGCAGGAAAATGCGAAGAGGACTAGAACGTATAAAAAGAAAAACTTCATGATGTCCAGCACCATTCTGCTTAGTGAGACCTGGAGGGGTCCCAGGTAAGGGTTTACGGAAAATATATAAACGAGTTTTAAGGAACTGTAACAGAAAGTAACATAAACATATTATAATTAACTCATTATGATATAAATATATATTTATATATAATAAATTTATGTGTGAGTGTTAGTTTAAGAGTGTTGATGTACGTGCAGACAATGCTCATACTTTCACTTATGAAATAATTCTGCTAAACTCATTGAATTTAATTAAAATGGCAGCGTTTTACAACGGACAAAAAGGGGAACCGGTGGAGGTTTTGTCACCGGTTTCAATAAAAGTTCTTTTGGTGATACTAGGTCAAAAAATATCAAACCCATGCCCAAGTGTTCTTGCCAATGTGGTCTATAAAATTAACATTTTTTTTTTTCATCATTGTTTAACATGCATGGATTTCTAATTTCTAATACATCAATCTATTTTTGTTGTTGATTTTATCTTGTTTGGCTTGGATAAAAAATGAATGATCTTTTCAAGGGTTGAATTAAGAAAAAATCTTGAGGAGTTAAGAATGCTTTAGTAAACAGCGTGAAAACAATTTTTCTCATAAAATCGAGTCCAAAAATGTATATATTAAAATAAGAAAAAACACATTGCTAAGTGTATTAAAATTATTCAAATGTATAATAAATAACAAAAACCAAAAGAAACTTTAATTAAAATAAGTTAAGTAAATTTTAGTCATGAAAAAACGACACAGATTTGTTTTGGCTTCCTTTAAAACTGTTAAATAGAAATTTGTTTTGAAACCAAAAATATATAAATTTTTGGACTCGATTTTATGAGAAAAATTGTTTTCACGATGTTTACTAACGTATCCTTAACTCCTCAAGATTTTCTCATAATTCAATGATACTTCAACCTTGAAAAGATAATTTCATTTTTCATCAAAGCCATATCAATAACTTTAAGGATAAATTTTACGCCTAAAGAGAAAAATAAATAAAAAAAGGTGCTCAGACATTTTTATTAAACAGGTTGTCTCAGCTCTTAATGACCAATCAAATTCTGGTGCGAGGGGAGAAGGAGAGATTCTAGACAAAATTTGCAACAAAAAAGTTCATTTGGTGCATGGGCCGACTCCGAACGAAAAAGGGGCTTAGGTCTAATTTTGTGTCCTCTTAAAGGTGGTCACGTTTTTTATTTAGTAAGAAGAAATTTCTCAAAAACTATTTAAATTGATTAAATTATAACACCATCGGTTCCTTCGGATACGGGTCTCACTGTACGCATCAAAATCTTCAAAGCCCAATTTGTATCGATCTACAGACTTACCACCGTTCGGATATTGAAGCCTAACGAAATGTTTGTTTCGACTTTATTTATTTTAGAAAGAAAAACAAAAGTGGAGAATTCGATTGGCTAGCCCCCCGTGAAATTCTGAATCCAACGGTACCCCATTCCATGGTATTTGAGCATGACAGGAGCTTATATTTGGTAAAAAACTGATTTCAAGCCTTAATGTAATAATATATGTAAGGATTAAAACTTATATGGTAATAATGTTATTACAATAAATAATATATAAATAAATTGCCTAAATATATTGGCGGCAGAAAATAGGCCTTCGGATATTAACATGGGGTCCCATGTGTCCCAGTCCTCCCTCGGGATGTCCAAGGTACCTTTCCCGCTCTGCAGTTCTTTTTGTACCTGCAACAGGGATCATTTACGTTGTCACTGACTGTTGAAACTATATAATATATTTACTTACAGATATATAATATATCAGAGGAGAATACATTCACCTGGTAATAGGAGACGACCCTGAGGGCTACGGTGGCGACGTAGAGGGAGTTGGTAATGAAGTCTATAACATTCCACATGTCAGCGAGGTAATCTTCTAACCCGACGTCCCACAGCTGCTTCACCTCGCTCCACATCAGTCCTAGCAAAGTTATATTTACAATAAGTAATAATTATAATAATATTATCCGAAGCCAAAGCCTTCGCGAGAGTAGCAATAATAATGGAGTGAGATGTACCAGTCTGGCAGTAGCTAAAGATCTAGTCGTCAGCAGCACAATGTTCCTGTCACAGGAAATCCACAAGTACAAGTGGTATAAACCCAAAGTAGCGAAAAACCAAATCGATCATGTATTGGTAGATAAGAGACATCAGTACTCAATATAAGGTGCATGAAAATATCGTGAAGCAGACTGTAATTCGGATCACTCTATTAGTCTGCTGCACAGACCGTTTTAAACCTAATTATTAGAAAAAGAAAGAGATAGATCTTCATCATAAAATAAGTACTTAGAAAAACAATGGGATAGCTCAGGATGGTGCTAGCTTTATTTGTCCGATTTCAAAGCAGCATATATAAAGAGATACATGGAATATATCATTGAAAATACTAATAAATAGAAAAAGATAATCTGGGAGGAAACACTTGAAGAGTGCTCGAAAAGGGAGTACCTTGAGAAAATACTTCCCTGCCGTCCAATCTCGATTACAAGCGAAATGGATCCTCCCGGACTATTGAGTTTCACTATTCCCCACGGGGCATGGGGGCTTCAGAGCAGAACTACATGGTTTCGGGCATGGCAGGATATAGATCCCCAATGCCCAGCTTGCGGGTTCCGGAGACACTTGAGTATGCGGTCATGGCCTGCACTGCTTTCGAAGATTAAGAGCTACGTTAATGAGAACCATGGTAATTTACGTCCTCATCGAGGAGGAGTTTCCTGGGTTGAATAGTGAGGAAAACTTCCCTTAGTTCAAAGAGTTCATAAATGGCTGAAAGACGGCGGTGGGTCCAGCTCACTTCAACCTAAGGGTCAGCAGAAGGAGAAGAGTACCAGTGACAGGAAGACCTCCGGATTCTGGAATTGGTTAAATTGGATTGGAATTAAATTGAAGAATGCAAAGTAAAAAGAGCTGGTGTGCACTGTACACTGTTATCATTGCAGTAGTGTGATATTATACAAAGGATTTACATCACCATACTTCATACACCCATATCGCCCTAGTGGCATGGGAATAAATAAATAAATAATTTGGAAATAAATAAATATAGGATATATAAAACCTATATCTAAAGAGATACGTCTACATATCTTAATAGGACTTTTAGGACTTCTAACAGGACCTTCAATGATAGAACTGGATTACGGCAGAGATATGGACACTCTGACGAATGTTGTTCAACTTCAAAAGAAGTGCTCAGATTACGTGAAACCAAAACCAGAAGATATAACAAATAAGATAAAATAGAAAAAGAAACTTTATTCTGGAGTACAGTTCCCTCAGAAAAAAGATTAACTTAAACATTAAACATAAAAAAAATATATATATATAGAATTAAAGATGATATAGAAGAGACATGGCGGATATTAAATGGTAAGGAATTCCAGAAAGTAACGGAGCAGGCTGAGAAGGAACGTTCATAGGTTTTAGTTCTTTGGGAAGGAATATAGAGGTCAGAGGAACAACAACACGGAATGTTGTTTTCTGTGAGTGGATTGAGGGTTAGGGCTGAAGGTGACGGTAAATACAGAAAGGGTGCTGGGAGTTGATCGTCTGGTACAAAGAATTTCTTAGAAAATACTACCGATGGAAGGAGGAGAAAATTATCTTGCTATACAGCTGGAACAGGGGACCATCTCGAAATACAGAAAACAAATTTTAATAGACAGTTCAAACTGTTCTTCATTCTATCCTCGAGCGCAATCGAGAGACCACCATATACCACACAGCCGCAGTCAAAGTCAATGACAAAAATTCAATGACAAAAACGCAGAACTTGCGGGTAGATGATGACGAGAACGATGAAATAGTTTAAGTGTACCAATTGACCTAGAGATTTGGGCAATATGAGGTTTCCAGGTTCTCTCGAAGCTTTCTACAGAGGAGCTAAAGGTATAATAGACCAAATTGCTGCATAATCGCATACAATTCAAACGAAAAGCGAAAAACCCTGATAGGTAGAGGTGAAGAAGAATGTACAAAGATTTACAGACCAGATATAAATAAAATTAAAACAAACTAACATAATATATTTCATTATTCTAGCGATTGTTTATTATCTACATCGAATAGATCCCAAATCGAAATGAAACTTGCCCTCCTATTTACTTTAACAATACCCAAATTCCTCAGTCAGGTAAAGTACAATACTTTGAATTGACGGTTGACAGAAGAATGATTTGGGACCCATATATAAAAAAAAAAAAAAAAAAAAAAAAACGTTAAACCTCAGACTACGACTATTATACTCACGTCTTTCAAAATGCTCAAAATTAAAATTAAAACAGAAACTGAATACTTACATTTATCTACTTACGTTGGGCTTATAGACCTACGCTTCACAGACATACGGAACAGCCAAAACGAACTCACATACATGAAGTACAAACTTTTCACTCAAAAACATTCAAGAATATAAGTAAAGCTCCATGGTACATCACAAATACTACTTTAAATCAACTTCACCTTCGTATGCCAACATATACGGACACACTACAAAATATCGTGATAACTTATATAGACATAAAAGTTATAGCTACAATTAGCATGCCCCAAAACACTAATTTGCTCAAAAGAAAAAAGTATACTAAAATCGAGATAGGAAGGTATGCCGCTGAACACTCCTCTCTCTTACGCCAATCAATGCTACTGCTTGTATTCTTCCCGACAGCAGATTCACTGATCGTCAATATTTCTGACAGGTGTGGGTGAAGGAATTAAGTTGAAAAAAAAAGATTTATATGTTATAATATAGTGCTTAATTGATTCTTCTCGAAATAAACACAATTTTTTTTTTTAATAATAATTTCCTGTAATTCTCAATTCTAAGAAGGCCAGGAGCTCAAATATCAGTTGTTGGTTCCCTGACCTGTAAAATTTTAAGGGTTGATATTTTTTGCTCCAATGGTGATATCAATTATCGCCTTTGGCACTGCCAAAAGTTATAATATAGTCGACTTTCATCATTATGAAAAAAATTTCTAACCCGTGTCAAAAAGGAAAAAAAGAGATAAGAATCAATAATGTAATGTTTGCACATCTCACAAATTTCACTTTTACCTTATGTAGGAATTAATTTTATATTAATTCATATTATATATTATAAATACAATAATCTTAAGCATAATTAAAAATGATTACTAACTATATGTCCTTCAGTTAAATGAGACAAAATTCGTAGCTCCTTGGCTATCCATTTCGAATAGTCCTCGATGGAATATTGCTAAGAAATCGCGTCTTTTTATTAAAAATTACATATCTCCATCAGATTTCATAAAATATTAAAAAAACAAGTTTTTGAACATTCCACTGTTTACGGACTACAAAAAATATGAGAAACATTATTTCACATCTGTCAGTAGTTTCAAAGTTATGAGAGGTGACAGAACTAAAATCAAGAAAACTTCGCTTTCTTGACGCAATAGTTCAATTTACAGATCGTTGATCATTTTTATAGAAAAAAAAAAAACCTGTACCACTACAAACCATGAAGGGTCTGGGGTTCAGTACTATTTATTAGGGAAAGCACTCTTTCTAGGTCAACGGTTGTGCGAGGAGGTGATTTGACCGAGATAACGCTCCACCGCCATGTTTTCCTCCTTAATCAATTATTTAATTAAGGGTACGCACTTTATAGAGGCTGGGCGTGCCCCAGGAGGGTCTCCTGACCCAAGGCCTCCCCATGGCCAATGAAACAGATAAATAAATTTTCTGCCATGTGCCGGGGTTCGAACTCGGGACCTGTGTACTGGAAGCTCAGTGCCCTACCACTGAGCTACCCCACTCCATTCACTTGTCACACATTAAAAGACTTTCCCAATATATCCATTGATTGGAATAATTAACATTTAGCCATTGTAATTACTTTGAATAACATTTAATATGAATGTTAATGTTTACATTTAATCAATAAAGTCATATAAATTCATATTAAATGTTATTCAAAGTGATTATTTTGAACTGAATATGTGTTATTGTTCCACATGATTCAATTATTCTTCTTCGTAAGGAATAAGGCAGTCTCAGTAGCGTCCACCAGCACATATATTAAGCTACTGTTGGACATGTTGAGTAGCTTAATATATGTGCTAGTGGACGCTACTGAGACTGTCAGTGTGTCCCTGGCCTGAGGTATCGAAGCTCTATTATTAGAACTTTGTAAAGGATACCATTGTTAACTTATAAAAAGAAAAATACCTTCATTTAAATGTCAATAAACGTAGAGACAATGAACATTTATTAGTTTATTAAATAATTAATTAGTGACCTTATTCCCAATTAAATGGTTATGTTTATATATATATATATATATATATATATATATATATATATATATATATATATATATATATATATATATAATACTAACCTGCTACCCAACCTAAGATCATCCACTCTATGATGGATGGTAAGGATCCCCTCTTAGTGGTGACCAATGGCGGCTGGATGCTCCCACTGCCATCACCTCCCGCCCAGTCCAGCAGGGTCTCTATTCTCTGGGAGGCCAGGATGAGGAGGACTGTACAATTTAATAATATAAAATATAATTTATAACTAAAAATATATATTAATAAATAGTATGTAGATGTGCCTAGTTAAGGCTACAAGGGATATAAGAAAAAAAAAACTCACATAAGAAGGTGAAATAAGACGCAGAGTGGCAGATGAACTTGATGAAAGGCTTGCGCAGGGTCTGCCCCGGCTTGGAGTGAGGTGCGATAATGTACATTATGGAGAAGATGGGGAACATGGAGCCGATCCGGATGATCTGGAGGGCCTGGAGGACCATGTTCTGCCTCCGGAACCCGGGAAGGCCCTCGTACCAGATCGAGGCCAGCAGCTGCTGCACGTTGGGGTGCGCCACGAACTGGAACACGAAACAGGAAGAGGAAAATATATAACAGAAAAATATGATCATCTTTTGTTAAATATTATTTTTATATTTTAATTGTTTATCCATGTAGAACAACTACAACTACTTATACATTTTAACTATATTGTGGGAAGTCGAACGCGGTAACTGATAAATCCGATATTAATTAGAGATAAGAATGCCTGCTTCAGAAAAACGTATGGTAACTGTTCGTTGTCCAAAAGTAGCAGTTTTTATGACCTGTTAAAATGACAGTATATGAAATAACTGGTCAACGATTCATGGACTAACTAACACACCTATTCGTTTTAAAACGTACTCTATACTGTTCCAGTGACAAATTATAGTTGTGAAAAAAAATTTTCACCTTCGACGGGATGCTCTTCCCCTGGATCAGCTCGTGAGAGTGATATACAAATCTGTTTATTAATGAGTAGCAGTTGCAACAGTGTCTACTACTTTTAAATAACATATATAAATAACTATCTGTTTCAAAACGGCGAGTAAAAAAAAATTAAAGTGTTGTGCGTGCTTTAGACCACACGATCAAAATGAAAATATCAACAAGACGATCCGATACCTAGCACTCTACCTAGACAAACATTTCACTTGGAATCCTCATACCAGACTGAAACGACAAGAAATCGCTCGACGTTTCCGCTTACTCCAACACTTACTAGACAAACGCTCTAAGCTTCCAGTTAATTACGAAAGACTCATAAACATGACTACAATAAGAACTAATTGGACTTATAGAGTTGAGCTATGAGGCTCAATTAAACCATTAAATTCCTCTCGTATCCAATTTTTAAAATCCAAAATCCTTCGCAAAATCCTCAATACTCCTTACTTTGTCTCAAATAAAATAATCCATAAGGACCTTAATGTTCCATATGTTTCCGATTTGGCCCAATCCAGATACTTATCCTTCTATAATAAACTTCATAACCATCCGAATCGTGTTGTTTCTAACCTTGCTTACTCTTCGATTCCTGATAACCCTACGAGGCGTCTGAAAATAAGATGGCCTCGTGATCTTCTCATGTAGACAAATTATTAGAGTGCTACCAATGGGTAGTTTCTCAACAAGCGTTTTCATGTGATTATATTCCTCTGTACACATTTACTTGTTGTATTTATACCAATACAGTTGTAAATTAACCCATGCTTATATTATTTTGTTTTTTATTTTACCTGATTTCTGTTTTTCTTTTCATTTAAATAATGTTTTTTTTCTTCTTCAAAATTGTGTTACTTTTTATTTGTTTTAATATACTTACACTGAAGATACTGTATACACTCTTTAATGTTGATTAATGTAATTTTTAGCCAGATGTGGTTTTTATTTTTTTTTTCATAATTGTTATTCAATACCTTCGCTTCGGTCTACCACTCGGACGTTTACCATTCGGTACATCAAGTATTAATATTTTAGGAATTCTTTCCTTACTAAGCCCAACAATTTTACATGCCCATGTAATTCGCCGCGATGTAACCACCTCAACTGTAATTACCGGATACAGTTCACGCAATTAGGCGTTGTGTAATGGTCTGAACTCTCCGGTTAACTCATCCTTCTTCCATGCAATATTTTATTTTCAAAACCTTAAGACGTTGCTGATCCCTTAATATAAGCGGCCACCTTTCGCATCCATAAAGAACTGTAAGTAAGATAATGGTTCTATAGATTCTAGTTTTTAAGTTGCGGGACAAGAGGCGCGAGCTAAGTAGTTTCGACACAGAAAAATAACAGGCATTTACCGCCTTCAGTTTAACCTTAATTAATCTCCTCTTCAATTTCGTTTTTCATAGTTATCGTAGACCCTAGTTACCTAAACTTCTGTTTATATTTTGTCTTATTCGTGTTTATTTCGAGTCCTAGTTCTTTACCGGCTTCCATTAATTTTTTCGTATTTAATTTTAAAGTTTCGTTGCATTTGCTTAACAGGACCAGAATATCCGCATAGCCCAGCACGGATGTTGTCCCGCCCAGATCCAACCCTTTCTCGGTTCGCATTACCTCCCTAATGGCATGTTCTAATGCCAAATTGAACAGGATAGGCGAAAGGAAATCACCTTGTTTTAAACCCGAACGAATCTTAAACTTTTCGAAAGAATTATTACCGATTCTAACTTTTATTGAATGTTTCTGTCAAGCACATCTTGACTACATTTATTAATGTTTTTGGAATCCCCTGCTCGATTAGAACATTATAGATTATACATTAATAAAATCGTAAGCCTTTTTTAAATTGGTATACAGCTGGTGAACCACACCGTTGAACTCTATTTTTTTCTCCAATATTTGCAGTGAAGAAAATATTTGATCAATAGTCGAACGGTTCCCTCTAAATCTGCATCGGTAGTCTCCGATAATTTCCTCGACGTGTTCTGTGATCCGATTAGTTAAGATTAAAGTGAATATTTTATAACATACCTAAAGGAGGGAAAATCCTCGATAGTTTTTACAATCCGTCCTCGAACCCTTTTTTTGGGCGTTCAATCCGACTTCATTTTAAGGATGATTGGAATATTATTTTGGTCACTGAACAAATGGCAATATAATGCATAAATAATTGAATGTGTGTATAATGAGAAGGTTATGAAATATATATAAAACACTCCTAAATTTGATTGCAATGTTGTATCAAAATTTCAAAATAATCGGTGAAGAACTAACAGAGATTAGCTGTTTTGAACATATTAATATTTATATTTTTATTTATATACACTATTTCCAAACATAAAAAGGAAAATAGAAAATCGGTTGAGAAACAGAGGAAAAAAACGGGCCAGAACTGTTTTGCCTTTGCCTATTAATTGTTTTAAACAATAATTTTTTTTAAAAAATTGTGAATGATTCGTTTAAAAATAGATGGAACTAGTGAATGCACCAATAAAAAAAAAAGTATATGACATTAACAAATATGTTGATTACATCATCGAAAAATAAATAATTGCGTATGTGCCATTTTTGTGTATACGCTCTTGCGAACATCCGCGTCACGGCTGACTGTATATGTTGCACACTGCACGGCCAGTGACGTAATCGAATTATAGTCACCGCTACTGGTTGAGCTAATAGTGCGACCGGAAGTAGTTCCTCAATGAGCACTATAATAGTTCTCCGGAAGTGATTGTATCCACATTCCAGTCAATCCAGTGATTACTTCATAGTCGATATATCAGTATTTCGATATGTTTTTATTTAGAACATGTTTATAGAGAAATATTATAATCGTTTATAATAGTGTTCAAAGATCACATTCACACTCTGTGTACAATAAATTAAACGGCAAAATAATATATATACAATTGATAAGAATCAAATAATTTAAAGATAAATAAATTTAAAAAAAACACATACCTAACTGTATACACTATTTACAGTGAGGAGAGGAAACTCCAAGCCAGACATGTCCCTTCCAACTGTGGAGTGAAAAGCAGTACTCCAGGAGATCACTGCAATACTCTCTCAATCGCGATACTGGGGCTAGAACTCATTGGAGATTGAGCGAGAGCGACATAGCCACATACACTCATGTCATCAGTGGAGAATCTAGCAATTTCCAGAAATCCAATATGTACAAACTATAAAAGATTGCGGGGGCACTGCCGTTTTAACCTTCTTGTAGAATTATAGGGACGGTGTTGGACGGGGATTGTATAAATAGAAAAAGTTTACCGATCTCCAGATTGAAAACATCCTAGGGGACGGGGTTGCCGAATGGGCTAAAGCGTGTGCACAGCACCGCGAGTTGCCCGACAACCAGATATATGAAGTTTTGAGAGACAAAAATAAATCCGAGTTCGCGTCCCGGTGCCGGAGGGGATTTTAAATTCCCCGCCCTCACCTCCGTCTCGGGGATATCCTGAATAGCCTAAATGGCAAGGTATTGAAGAACAAAAAAAAAAAAAATTGAAAACGTCCGAATTCTGAGATTTTTAGTAAATAAAATATTTTTAAGTTAAGATGAGATGAAGCCATTTACGAGGTTTCAAGAGAATTTTAATTTGATTAAATGGAGTTTATTCCACGGAATATTAACTAAGAAATGTAAAAAATAAAAATGAACTTTTAAGTCCAGTTGCTTGGTGCAAAGATATGACGTTTTCAAATTTTTGTATTTGGTCTTTTTGTTATGTAAAGTCGATTTCATTTATTTTATAACTAGGAAACGTTATATATAAGGGAACAGTCTAATTTATAATTTGAAGAATAATGTGGTTGTATATATTTTTTTTAAAATATAAAATGAAAAAAAATTAATAAAGAAATTTTTGTATTATATTTTTCCATAATTGGTAAGGAATATAACGTGACACGGTACACATATCTGACATATAACTATTTGGAAAATAGTGCAATAATTCACTGCGTTTTATTTTTCATAAATAGATTATTTATAATTGATAAAAATACTTTAAACCGAAATATGTTCAATAATTAAAACAAAAATCTTATTTAAAGGAAATCTCAAAAGTGTTAAGGATGTGAGAAGTCATGGCGAGGAGAAGTTAAGAGATCAGTAGAGGATATAGAGAGGTTTCCTAGTGTTGTGTTAAGACTCGAGAACTTTAAATGGACTTTACAAAGTCAACCTCAGACCTTACAAAGTACCTAAAGTTGAAGTTACCTTCTTCTGCCTCAACTTGATGGCCAGCTTGAGCCTGTTGAGGTGCATCCTCTCTCCGTGCTCGAAGGCGGGGCCGGTCGGGTCGTGGTTGAGGAGCACTTCCAGTTCGTAGGAGCTCCGGGTGTGGTCCAGGAGCGCCGTCGCGAAGTCCTGGCACTGCTTCCGCAGTTCCTCAACAGAATAATGATAATAATTACTAATGATAGTAATTACTAATGATAGTAATTGTAAGGATAATAATTAAAAAATGGTTAACGTTGTTATTATCATTACAATGACAGAATAGAAAATCTTTTTTTACTTTCACTTACCTCTATATGTAATATATGTAATCTAAAAAAAAAAAAGATTAAAAAAATATATATATAGAAAAAAAATAATAATAAAGAAAAAAAATATATACATATATATAAAAAAAAATTGTATACTATGCTCATACATATTGCTAATGCTATATAATTGTATATTAGTTTTGGAAAATTGTCTTTAGCGATTAATAAGTATACTGTGTTTAAAGCAACCCAATGTAATTGGACACCCTTTTATGGTAATAAAGTGATTCTCTCTAGGTAGAATTTGAAAATTTTCGAATCGGAGTTTACAACGAAAATACTCGTTTTGAGTCCAAATAACCAAGTCCAACAAAATGGTCTGTGTGTGTGTAGTTTGTGAACATCCTAGCTCAAGAAGGAAAAGTCGTACGAAACTGAAATTGCTTATTTAAAATTTTTATAAGCCTGGGATGTTACGGCAACATTCGCTTCATAATCGGGACTTTATATTACCGATTTAACAAATTTTTTCCGATTTTCTCAAAAACGGCTTTAATGATTTTGATTAACCTCAGTACATCAGTTTATTATACGTTTTTTAACGTTTTCTAAGAAGAAAATTTTCAATGTCACTTTCGTTAAAAAATGGGTCTACTTCCTGTATTTTTCTTCGCATTTTTCCTCAAAATCGGCTAACCGGAAGTGGTGCTTTATATTATTGATTTAACACATTTTAAACTCAGTACATAAGTGTATTACTGCGCAGTTTTTAATATAATGTTGGTTTTATATTCATTGGTGTTCTCTAACAGGACTTAAATGACTAATTTTCAATATTCTTCTAAAGTACCTTTAATTTTTTTTTTATTTGATATAAATAACCATTTAACATTAACGTTTGATATAAAAAATAGTTAAATATAAAATATGAAAGAATTTGATAATTAACTAAAGATAAAATAAGAAATCGTAACGGATAATAGTTGTAATAGAGGAACCAAAGAAAACTCACCCGAAAGATTAGAACAGGTTTCCACTTTTGTTCATAAAATTTTCTTTTGATTAGCCAATGTAATTTTTTTAGTCCAATGTAGTTTTTTTTGAGAAGTAATCTTTATTTATCGTTTATTTTTATTATTCCTTATTATATTGTTCCATAATAAAATTATTTTTCACTTCTGTCCTAATTTCCCCATCCTTAATCAATTTCATAGACTGATAAGCGATATGGCTGACATGCCTATCAGAAGGCGAATAAAGAGAAGCTGAGAAGAAAAGAAGGTTGAAGGGTCTTCTTTCCTGAATTAAGGAACGAAACAAGGACCAGGAAGAGATATGGCTGCCATTTTCATGACAGGTCAAATGAAGGTATAGAGAGAAAAAAATATTATTACAAACAGTAAAAAACATACTTTTAAAACAAATCTGTTATTTTTTTATTTTATAAAATGTCAATAACGATATACATATTTTATTATACAAAATATGAAAAGTTCAAATCCTTTGTTGGTTATTGCTAGATAGCAGCTAAATAATGAATCCTAAAGATAAAGTTTAGGGTTAACTCAAACCATCAGACAAAAATAATAATAATTGGATCCATTAAAACGAAGGAGATCCCAATGCCATCTTCTTTTCAGAGATATTGGCTGTAAATTGAGATGTAAATTATAAAGTCCGTGGTACAGACCCCTTTTTATCAAACTATTAACATCCCCTAAAACTTCGTGAATCGCTTAATCGTATTGTAACCTATAAACTTGTTATCCACGAAATTTTTCAAAAATGGGGCTTAATCGGGTACTAAAAACTCATAAATATTCTTATGCTTTATACTTAATTCCTAAGGTAATTTAATTTCAAAATCGATAAGAAAGGTGACCAAAAAATATAACCTTGTTATTTTGATATGTTGAGGGTGGAGGTTACGCTAAACAGTCCAATATTTTTGTAGGCCCTTTATTCTCGATTATGTGATAAAATTATCTCATGATTCAAGTGGAATGCAATTGGGTATACGTGAGTTTTTAGTATCTAATTAAATCGACAAAGTTAATCGATCCTCAGATTGTTCCCCAGGTTAAAAGCCCCAATTCCGAGAATTTTCGTAAATGAAATACTTGTAGATTACGATGAGATGAAGCTATTTAGAAGTTTCAGGCGGATGTTAATAATTTAATGAGGTGTATTTTCAACGGACTATAATTTGATTCAAGGACTCCACTTGGACAAACGACTAACTTGGAATCCTCATACCTGACTGAAACGACAAGAAACCAATCGACATTTCCAATTACTTCAGCACTTACTATACAAACGCTCTTAACTTTCAAATAAGTACAAAAGACTCATATACATGACTATAATAAGGCCTATTTGGACTTACGGAGTTGAGCTATGGGGCTCCACTAAACCATCGAATTCCTCTCGTATCCAATCCTTACAATCCAAAATCCTTCGTAAAATCCTCAATGCTCCCTACTTTGTTACAAATAAAACCATCCATAATGACCTTAATGTTTCTTATGTTTCAGATCTGGCCCAATCCAGACACCTATCCTTCCATAATAAACTTCAGAACCATCCGAACCTCATTTCAAAGAAATTCTTCTTCGATACCTGATAACCTTCCGAGGCGTCTGAAAAGAAGATGGCCCCGTGATTTCTTAATGTAGACATATCATTAGAGTGCTACCATTGGGTAGTTACTCAGCAAGTGTTTTCACCTCATTATATCCATATTTACTATAATTTACTAAATGTATTTCTTTAATACAGTTGTAAATATCATAGAAATAATAAAAAAATAATTTGATTATTTTTCAAATACGTTCACACGTAATCCACCAAAAACTTTTTCAATTAGAGTAATTCGCTAATAAAATTTTGTAGTCATGATAAATTTTTCAAGTATTTTTTATTTCTGAGACATATTTTGTTGACATAAACTTATAAGGATTTAAATAGAAGACTTTGAAGTACTAAAATCGTCACAGCAGTTTCGGCACTATATTCAATAGCGCCATAAGTTTTTCGGCAGGCATTTCGAATAGAGGAAAGGGTGGATGGTAATACCAATTTAACAGGATCGTTCTTGGGTGTTTTTTCCCCGTTTTCGGGTGACTTTGATTCCAAATCTCAAAATAATTGGACTTTTTGACTAAGGAAAAAGTCGCAGACGGACAGAATTTTTTTATTGAATTTTCGGATTTTATGTTTCGTGAAATATAAAACTTTTCAGGGGAGGGATTATGAGTTTTTAGTACCTAATTAAATGGACAAAGTTTGTAATTTGTAAAATGGGGGTTGATTCGCCGTTACGTGGACAGAGTATACTCCCTGGTATGTACTTAATAAAACTATCAACCCCTGGACAAAATTAACGCACGACTTATTTGTGAAACAATTACCCTATAGAAGGGGCTGCATTAAGATTTCCAAGCAAGGCATGACAATATATTTTTGTTCTATAAATGACAACTGAGGCTGTGAAATGAACTTTCTAAGAGAAAAAGTTGACTGCAAAAATATTGGTCCGTTCGACGTGAACTACGCCGCCAAAATAACGAGGTTTTATAGGTGAAATGGTGCAATACTTTTGTAGGCCACTTTTTTTCTGAAGTTTGTGATCAAATTATCTTACGATCCAAGTGGAAAACATGTGGGTATTTATGAATTTTTAGTACCTATTTAAAGAGACAAAGTTTGCCGATCTCCAGAAACGCCCCAATTCCATGAATTTTCTTAAATGAAAAAGTTTTATGTTACGATGAGATGAAGCTATTTACGATGTTTTAAGTGGATGTTAATAATTTGATAAAAAGGGGTCTGTGCCACGGACTAATATCACTTCTACTCTTAATATTAGAGATTGGTCAGTATGCGCACTAGATTATCACCGAACTAGATCCAAAACTGTAACTAGTTTCCCGTGCTTTGTGCAATGCAGGTACAGTATTAGGTTGGGGATTGTTGGGAACTGGTAGAGGCCGAAGAGCAGATAATGATGTTAAAGTACAAGAGGCCATTAGTAGACAAACATGCGGTTACATGTTCGGAAGATGGAGTCTGCATGTTATGGAATAAAGGCAAGAAAGAAAAAAAATTTCTGGTTTTCCTGGTTACTTCGCGAGGGAGGGTAGTAACTGAACTTGAAGCAATATTATTGCCAGTTTATTTGAGCATTGAATATTGTCAAGGTTTTTTTTATAATTGTTTGTAATAGTGTTGTAAAAACGAGTTTCGACTCTTTCGAACTTCGAGCCTTTAACCTCGAACTTCTAAGGCTCGTGTTAAATGCTCATAAGAGTTCTAGTCTTCATGAATTAATAAAATTAAAAAAAATGAAATTATTGTAGATTTTCTTAAACAAATATATTTTTTATGTTAGTTGTAACAATGTGAATATATTTCAAAAATTTTCGGTGCCCCTCTTGGCAATATTCACGAGTAGGTGGGTGATCTTTATTTTACTAATTTTTTTTTAGGGGAGGTGGAGTTTTTTTTTCATGATGAAATTGCAATATGATTGGATAGGTGTTACTTTGTTCAACTTTTTTTTAAGATGAGGAATACTTTTTTTTCTTTAAGTTTTTTTTTTGGGAAGGGTGAATCTCAATAACAAGGGGAGTAAAATAGACTTTGTTTCAGTTAAAACTATAATTTATGGTACCGTAAGGTATTCAAGCAAAATATTAATACTACTAACAAACCTGTAGAACAGTTTACTTTATTATAAAAATCGTAATACATTTTAACATATGGTATAAAACAAGTGAGGTTACAGCCTTCTACTGTCGAGCTCTTAGGAATCGATTCTTGTCCGAGTCAGGAAACCTCGAGTTTTTTCACCGAGTTTTTTTACAACACTAGTTTGTAATGAAGAGGTGAATAATGTAA